GTCGTAAATCTGTGGGAACAGTTCTTGGGAATTACTATTGAATAATTACACTGAGTTCCAAGTACTACCAAGTGAGGAACAAAGATCATTAAGAGACAGTTCATCTACCCTTACGTGAGCAGAAGGTTTTCTTCTGGAACTAAACACTGAGCACTTCTAGAAATAACCCACCGTGCTAGCCATGCTGCGAGAAGAGGAAATGATTGGTTTAGTTTTGGGGAAGAGTCCAAATGCTGTCACTTGGAGGAGATTCAGAAATGGCACCACTGCCAAGGCCAGGCACTGTTTGGGGTCATTTTCATGTATTGTCTTAGTTCTCCCAGAACTCCTTTCTCGACAAGGAAACTGAGGTTCAGAGAGATCAGTGACTGTGCAGAGCCACAGGGCTTGCTACTGCTAGTGTTGAGTGTTGAGTGTTGAACTCGGCTTGTCTCCAAAGGCAGGCTCTTTCCCAGAGGAGAGCCACCTGGCTCTGTGTGGTTTCCATGGGAGAAGAGGAGGCCAGGACTTGGCATCCACGGCTGACCTAGAGACTTGGACATGACGTTTATTGAAGATTTTATTGAGGAAATCCCAGTTTGGGAGTTAAGCTTGATTTGTTACCTGAGCTTTACTGTGAAAAACAACCTCCCAGGAGGAGAGGACTGTGGTGTGTCAGAGGTTGGATTAGAAAGCCTCCACCATCACTTCTAACTCTGAATATCAAAACAGCAGGAATAAATCTATTCATTCTGTCTCCTCTCAGGTTTTTCCAGACAAGTCGGTGTATAGCCCGTCACCACGGAGCCTCCCCGAGTTAGTGTGTGCGCGCGTGGGTGCGTGCGTATACATTTATACACATGGATATTTACTTTGAAGAATTGCCTCACATGATTATGGGGCTGAGAAGTCCCACAATCTGCTATGAGTTAGAGAACCGGGAAAGCCAGTGATAAGTCTGAAGGCCCGAGAACCAGGGTCGCTGATGACGTAAACCCCAGTCTGAGAGAACATCTGGCCCTCGGCGGACTGGATGATGGCCATCCACTTTGGGGAAGGCAGTTTACTGGGTCCACCAAGTCCAATGCTAATGCCACGTGGAAAGGCCCTCACAGACACAGCCAGAAATAATTAACCTGACACCCCATGTTCCGTCAAGTTGATGCAGAAAATGAACCATCTCGTTAGGCATCTGTCGGAATGTTCCTTAGACTTCCCTAATAGCTAACAGCTACCACCTATGAGACACTCACTGTGTGCTGGCACTCATGCAAACACTTCATACTGACTCACTTCATACACCTGACAACTTTTAATAAGTTAGTTATCAGCCCTGGCTGGTTTGGCTCAGTGGATAGAGTGTCAACCTGCGGACTGAAGGGTCCCGGGTTCGATTCCGATCAGGGGCATGTGCCTTGGTTGCGGGCACATCCCCGGTGGGGAGTGTGCGGGAGGCAGCTGATCGATGTTTCTCTCTCATCGATGTTTCTGGCTCTCTGTCCCTCTCCCTTCCTCTCTGTAAAAAAAATCAATAAAATATATTTTTTTAAAAATAAGTTAGTTATCAAGTGACCAGCGCTCTTCCTATTTTCCAGATAGGGAAACTGAGGCCCAGAGGAGTTGCCTGCAGCTAGGAGATGAAGCCAAGTGGTTGGACTGGAGAGGACATGCTCACAGTCACCACTGTATATTGCGTTCCCTGTGGATGGTGCTGTGATAAAGTACACTGTGCATTTACTGAGCACCCAGCACACGGCAAGCCTTCTGCCAGGCATTTTGCAAGGAGTGTCTCTGATAGTTATAACCCTGCAAATTAAGATAGATTTTTGCCCCATTTTTCAGATGAGAAAAGGAGGGCTCCATGTATTAACTAATTTGACCAAAGATCACACAGCTCAGCTATTTCTATTAAACCTTGTCATAACGTTTTGAGCCTTGTCACTACATTTTGATCTTATAATTTTTTTGGAATCCCTTTCATCCATTCTCAATGAAGGGATATTTATCCTACTACTTGGACTCAGAGCTGCTAGCCAGCAAGTGGGATGTGGTCTTGTGTATATCAGGGCTGTGGCAGGCTCCCCTGCAGGCATCAGAGAGGTGTGAGGACGTGCAGGCTGATACTCCGCGACTCTCCTGGGGACAACTCCCTCTAGAAGTGGAGCCTGGCTTCCAATTCTCCAATTCCTTATGATCAGAGCCCCAGTCCCCGGCCCCTGTGGGGACACCCATGTTCCTTCCTTTCTGGCCTCAGGCAATGGCAGCCCTCTCACAGAGCCCTTGTCCCGCCACACTTGCTCCCGATGACTCATTGAACTTTGGCAGATGGTACATCTTTTATACCTACTTTTGCCTCTTTCAATTCTCTCAAGTCTGAGTGCAAGCTGGCTCCTGGTCGACTTGATCACGAAAAACAAACGGTTACAGTGAACTGTGACGTTCCGGCAGTTTGCTCTTCTCTCCAGTGCTGCCCTAATGACAGCACTCATCGCCGTCTGAGGAGCATGCTCGTGGCTCTCACTCCTTCACTGGTCAGCCAGTCTCCAGAAATATGCAGCTCCATATGGTAGCCATTAACCTCCCGTGGCTGTTTACATTCATGTTAATACTTAAAATTAGATGACATTAAAGCTTCAGTTCATCTGTTGCATTGGGCACATCTCAAATGCTCTCGTGGCTGTTGAATTGGACAGTGCAGATATGTAACATCTCCAACATCACAGGACGTTCTGGTTAAAGGAGAGAGACCAATAAACCACGGCCACCCGTACCAGGTGTACACGCTCTGTGTTTATATGCTGGGAGGGAGAGAGGAGGTGCAGAGCTCAGATGGGAAATCTTCCCACCCCACTGTCCCCCAAGCCAGTGGAGGTCTCTTCATCCCTCTCCTGCCTGGTCCCTGCTCTGTGGGGTCCTGGGGCCAACGGCCCTACTTGCACGTGAGCAGGTGTATTGCTTCCCCTCCAGCTGGTGAGCCACCCAGCTCTCCTAGGTCTCCACCTCCCTTTGGAGAAATATTTGGGCTGATGAGGTTGGTGGAGGAATGCAAACGGAAGTAAGTCTTTAGGGAAATGCTTGTTTGGCTTTCAGGCATTCTCACTCATGGTGCTCATAAAGTAGTTATAATGTTCTCAACTGGAGTCCCATCTGTTCCTTCTGCACCACCTGGGTCCAACATTGGAGGCAGAAGAAATGCCCATAAATCCTTCTTGTTGGTGATTTGTTTTTGTCACGGACGTCAATGTTTGGTGAAAGCAGTGTCACAAAGGGACCCCGAACCAGCCATCCCTAAGGAGTTCTTCACTTCGACTTTGCTTCTGTGGAACAAATGAACTTCATTAGCAATAGGCACGCTTCCTGCACGTGTCCCCGGTCTTTGTGTGGGAGTGGAAATCGAACCACATCTCAGCACTGCACGAGTCTGTTTCCAGCTGTTTTGTTGTAATCCGGGTCTTGTCAGTTCTTCCTGTCCCCGTGGTTTGTCTTTGGAGGATGATACTGAGAAGAAATGTCAGCAAATTTGAAGTCAGTTAGAACCACCATTAGAGTTGGTAGTTAAATCATTACCACCCTGCACTTTAAGGCAGCTGGTACAAGCTTCAGCTCACTTGATCCTCCAACAGCCCTATGAGGTTGGAGGCATCACCCCTCTTTTGCAGGTGGGGCCACCAGGTCAAGGTCTTATAGCTGTTGTGATGACTTCCAGTAAAGTGTTCCTTTTTCGCTATTCTCCTCGTTACTAGTGATATTTTAAGGTCAATAAGCAAAATAGGAAGTCAGTCGTGGAAATTTATATGAAGATCTGGTTTTATTACCGGTGCATGAAGCAAACATTTAGGAAAGACACCAAGGGCAGGTGTGCAGTAGACAGCAGCCTCCTTTCATGGAGCCCGGTCCTCTCTTGACTGGGCTGCTCAGCTGTTTTCACAGTCCTCTGCAGAGCAGAGCGCCCCAACCTGCTGAGGCGTTGGGTGGGGGGAGAGGGCCGTGGGCTTTGGGAGCCTTTCACAGTGTCCCTGGCCCCCCAATGTCCCCAGGTTTATTTTGGCAAAATTGAAATTGATTGAACGGCTATATTGACTCTGGAGAACCTAATACAGTGAAACGATATAAACTCTGAGATCTGGAAAGAGCCTATGACAGATGAGACTATGAACCAGGCCCTTTTCTAAGAGCTTTGCAGCAACCCTCGATTAATCTCCATCTACCAACTGAGAAACTGAAACTGAGCAAGTCACTTGCCCAAGGTCACATGGTTAATAAGTGGAGGAGCTGGGATTTGAACCCATTTTAATTCCAGAGTCTGAGTTTCTGATCACCTCGAGCAGGTTGTCTAGGGAAAGCCCTGTTCATTGGTACAGAATTCAGATGCTGAGACTCAAGTCCATCCTAGGAGGGCATCAGAAAAAGCATTTTCTAAGCAGCTCACACAGGCACTGAGAAATTTTCCTAAAGAGAAAAGAGAGATGTAGGCTATGCCACTTCTAGACCTGGCCTCCAGAAAGAGTTATTCATTGACCGGCACGTCTCGAAACCCATGTATGTGAAATGAGAATGTCCCTCGACAGAGGGCTTTCCACTGCAGACACCTGGAAGCCCAGTCTCCGATCAGAGACTTCGTGTTACAGTTCTTTGTTTTCTTGAAAACAGAAAGGATTAAAAACTTCAAGTCAAGCAGCTGTGTGAACATGTAGCTGGCTACCCACATCCAGGTCAATAGATGTTCCATAAAGCTGTCAGGTCAGTGGGCTATGGAGAACAGGTAGCAACTCCATAATAAGGCAGCTGGGAAGCACTTTATTTACATTTATAGATATTCAGCTGTGGGTTTTGGGGGGGAGGAGTTCATGAACCTGCAAAATTGTATACTACGTTTTGGGTAGATGTGTATATGCTCACTTTTTTCAATAGAGTCTCAAAGGGATCCGTGACCCCTAAACATTTCATTATGACTATGAAGACCTTTCATTACATTACTTCTGTGTAGCTCTTCTGGGAGATCCAATAGCAGCTATGAAAGCATCAGTCTTACGAGTTTTAGGGGTCACCATGACCTGTGTCATTTTCACTTTGCTAATTTTCTTTGCGTAGATAAAGAATGGATTCAAATAAGACTTTCTACTGCGTATATTTACAGACTGGATTTTTCCATCTACCACATGGAGACTTTTTCATCGAGCCTGTCAAAGAGCACCCCCAGGCCGAGGGCGAGTACCACCCACACATCGTCTACAGGAGGCGGAGGAAGGAGCCTGCCTGCGGATTACAGGGTATTGTGACTGAGATCTCCTCACTGGGTTGAGGAGTTTGTTTTGTTCTGTTACTGTTTTATTCCAACATGACCTGTTCTTATTTAAATCTGTTATTTCCTCCCCATCCTGTCGGCAAGACGTATGCACCCTTGTAGGTATGTCATTTCAGTTCCCTGTAAGTCCCTTCGTGTTCTTTTTTTTTATTATTGTTTTATTGCTTAAAGTATTACAAAGAGTATTACATATGTCTCCTTTTTTCCCCGCCCTTGACAATCCCCTGGCCTCCCCTACCCCCCAGTGTCTTATGTCCATTGGTTATGCTTATATGCATGCATACAAGTCCTTCGGTTGATCTCTTACCCCCCTTCCTCCTGCCCCCCAACCCTCCCCGGCCTTCCCGCTGCAGTTTGACAATCTGTTTGAGGCAGCTCTGCCTCTGTATCTATTATTGATCATAAGTTTATAATGGGAAGGGAAGGGGCAGTTCCTACATCCTTGCCACATTAGTGAAGACACTCCTGTGATATTCATAGTGGTGAATTGGTTTAAAAAAACACTTTTCTGAACCCCTTAGAGGAAGATTAATGAAAGGAAAATGAATTTCAGTATCAGCAATGTTGTCATACATTAGCGTGGAATCGTATCAGACAGCTTGTCATATCTGCATATGGAACGCAGATTTAAGTGTGTGATGATGCTGACGATGTGTGAAGAGAAACTGAAAAAATATCAACACATTATCAGACGATGAAATTAGCTAAGCTTCTTTCAGGTGCATTTGTTTCTAGTTCACTGAGGTTGGTCCCCGCCCCTAAGCCCCTGGAATGGCCTTGTACTAAACAGTTTCAGGTAGCTTTCAGAGATAAACTGATCCAGGCTATTTCCTCCTTAATGTGTGGGAGATAATAGTTCATACATAAAGTACCATTGGAAATTGGGACATTTTCTTTAATATTGTATAGTTCATCCTTTATTCGTAGATTCAAAAATAATGGGCTAGGGAGACAGTTAATAAAAGGAACCCATGATATTCTTTATGTCTTAAGAATTTGAAAACCATAGACATCAAAGGGAAAATAGGTAGATGATGAAGGAATCAGGGAAGGTGGATTCTAATAGGGTTTAAGGGGACTTAGAACTTGACCTTTGTCAGCGGGAAAAATGACAGGAAATTGAAAGAACAGGGGACTTCTCTACAGACTTCACCCTACCCTATGAGAGATGTCAACCTTCTTAGGAGTTTCTTCTGTAATTTTAGCAGAGTATGTAAGCAACAGAAACTTTTGAGTCTGTGATATTTTCTGTACACAAAAATATGCAGCTGCTTGAATTCCTCAACTTTAGTAGGATACTGCAACTTTGTCCTAAATTAGATAATTTCCTGTCTAAATATCCTTCTAGCAAGTATCAAGAGAAGGAAAGAGATGTATTGTCTGGCTAATTTGACAGATAAAGGAACCAATCCAGATAACTTAGTCTCAATGGGAATTTTTAGGACTCAGTTTATCACCAATCCAATCACCTGGATAATTACCCAATTTCTGTCCTACATTGGATGATAGATAACACTTTGTGTGTGCGATTCAATATTTCTTAGATCCCTAGGTAATCAATTTGGCAGAGAGAGTTCCTAGGGCAGTGAGTGGATTTGGCTAGATAATTGCTCTGTGAAATTAGTTATGCTATTCCTCATCCACCCACCTTGAACACCACCTCTGCCTTATAACTTCATGTTGAGGTAGAATTGATTAATAACAAATGGAGAAGAGCATGTGTTTAGTCATAAAGACAGAGAGTGGATAGGAAAAGAACGGGGTTTACCAATGTCATGCTCCCGTTAGGTCTCATACAACACCACAGTTACAACGCTCGCCACACCCTTTTTCATTATTGTCCTTCTAGGCCAGTGATGGCGAACCTTCTGAGCTCGGCGTGTCAGCATTTTGAAAAACCCTAACTTAACTCTGGTGCCGTGTCACATATAGAAATTTTTTGATATTTGCAACCATAGTAAAACAAAGATCTATATTTTTGATATTTATTTTATATATTTAAATGCCATTTAACAAAGAAAAATCAACCAAAAAATGAGTTCGCGTGTCACCTCTGACACGCATGTCATAGGTTCGCCATCACTGTTCTAGGCCAACCTTAAGACGTACCACTTCCACTTCTATGAAACCTCCTTGGAGTAGTCCCACCTGGGAACAAATCTGTGCGTTACGGACCTCTCCCTACACAGCTTCTAAAGGAAGCTTGTCCACTCGAGCAGCTCTGTTGGAAGGACCTTTGAGAGCGTAGCCTCCTTTTTTCTCCAAAGAAGCACTTGTGGTTCAGAGAAGGGAGTGAATTTTTCAAAAGCTTCAAGGTATTTGGTGTTCAAGCTCAGAAGTCAAGGTCCTATTCAATCTTGGGCTTTATATTCCTTCATATTTATTCTTTAACTCTTCCTTTGAATATAAACTTTGTTTGAGCAACAATCTTGAATGCCCTATTTGAGTAGGAACTCCCTCCCCAAATAGTATGTAACATAACATAATGTTAGGTGCAAAGTAAAAATTCAAAAAATAATTGAAATGAAACGATGAATGATTCATAGCCAAGTAGATGAAACTAGAAAATACGAGCCTCCAGTATATGTAACAGACAGAAAGAAAAAGGAAAGGTGGTTTGCTAGCTGCTCTGGAAGCCTCAACCCTGCTCTTACCATCTCCCTTCCTAAAGTGATCAGTGGGATTAAATGCTGGAATGACAGCAAGAGATTCAAGAATAATCTAACGTGCTGTGAACATTCTTAAGGTATATGTGACATTCGGAATTTTAAAAACTTCATAAATTGAAATGAACTTGGTCTGGCTGCACCAGGTAATTGCAGTGTTCGTCCACCACGGTACCTGCGGGGATAATGGCATTAACTGACTGTAGCCATGTCATTAGCCAACATCCAAGTATACCTCATTCTCAGGTCAGTTGGTGTTGGAGATTAAATTACTGTGATTAGATCAAGAAATATCACCTTGTGTAAAGCATTCCGTCTTTGTAATGTTCAAAGCAGGAACACCCTTGGTGTTGAAAAAAATGTATTTTAAAAGTATTCAAGTACTTTAAGAGAGAAAATATATCCATTACTTTCCCCTAAAATATGTCCCTTCAGTGATATTTATTTCCCACATAGAAGGGTACCCAGGAATTCTACCATAATTATTTTATCAATATAACCTAGTTCTTTTTTTCCCTCAGGATTGTATGGTGATACTATTTTGTTATCGATTTGATCAGTTTGAACTAACATTTCTTAACTTGTATGCTTGTTCTGTTCATTTTCTGAACCTCATGTTTGCCAACTCTTGCCAAAGTTCTTGTTTTCTTCAACTTTCTGGACTCTCTGTTAAATGATGGGAAAATACAGCCTGTCTGAATGAAATCTAGAGCAAATTTCAAAACTTCATTTAATCTTAGCTTTTTCGGCAAGAATGTATCACACTGGGGCTTGCGTAACTTTTAAATGGAAGTGTCTGGGGGAACTTGGTTTTAGGAAGCGAGGGAAGAAGAGTTAACACTAGTCAGATAGGTCAGGTGACAATAGCAGCAGGGTCAGCTGTGGCCAAAAGGGGTTCAGGCAGGTCAGATCAGAGTTTGGGGTTTCATGCACCAAGACTCTAGGCTAGGAACACAGGGTCAGGTTCCTGGCATGTATTTCTGTGTTTAAAATGCATTCATCTATTCAACGAATATCTATTGGGTATCTTCCGTACGTCTGGTACTCTCCTACGTTGTGTGGGTAAAGTTGAGATAGGTTATGTTCTTGGTCGGGAGAGCTGTCACCCCGGATACAGGACATGGGTAAGCAGGGCCGCAGGCCTGGCCTTATCTTTATAATATACGGTCTGGCTGTGAAGAGCAATGGAGTCTTAATGCCTGTATTAGATTTTTTTTTTACTTTTTATTATTCTACATTATGTTTGTGCCGGATGTGTAGCTGTAATTTGTTCATTTTCTTTGCTATCATACTTCATTGTGTCTCTTTCCCTTTATCCCCGCTCCTATGAATGGATCTGAATTGCTTGCAGTTTGGGGCTAGTATCCATTCATTATATTCGACCCTCCTTGTGTGTGTGTGTTAGAGCAGAAGTTCACTGGGATGTCAAAGGTATATACATAGCAGTGGAATGAAGTCAACGTCGCGTAGGCTATGTGCATCTATGACTTTACCAGATGATGCAAAATTGCTTCCCAGAGTTGCGTTCCAAAGCAGTGAACGAGGGTTTCCATGGTTCCATAACCTGTCCACGCCTTGGTACTCTCACTTTGCCAGTCTGGTAGATATGAAGTGGTATTTCCCGGGCGTAATGTTGAAGCTACGTGTATCCCGTTGTGAAGTTGGGCCCCAAATCTGTGGCTTGTGGCTATAGATTCTCCATGAATTGTCTTCTTCCCTGGACCTGGAGAGCCAAGTTCAGGTTTGCTTACTTGTTTCTTTGTTTTCTAGTTCACTTAGTGCCTAACCTAACTTTCTACCTATGTGGGTCCTGACTTGCCTCTTTTCTCCAGAGCAAAAGTAGGGAGCAGCAGATGCCCCGACCAGCAGCTAGCTTCAGACCTCAATCCGTCTTCAGCCAGAGAAACAGAACCAGGAGGACATTTGTATTAAGAGGTTTATTGCAGGAGATTGCTTCACATGACGGTGGGGCTGGCCAGGCAAATCCGAAATCCGTGGGCGGCCGTTCAGGAAGCACAGGCTGCACCTCGCAGGCACAGGCAGACGCAGCTGAATTTCTTCTGGAAGCCTCAGCTCTGCTCTAAAGGTCCTTCAACTGATTGAATCGGGCCCAGCCCATGATCAAGAGCTTCTTTACTCGAGGTCAGCTGGTGATGGGCTTTGATTACACCTACGAAATGTCTTCACAGCACCACCCAGATCGGTGTTGGGCTGAATAACTGGGGACTACAGCCTAGCCAGTTGGTATATAAAAAAGTCATGATCACACTGCATCTTCTGCTTTTCTCTCTGAATTTAT